CAGAGTACTTAAAGGAAAACAGAGTAGCTAGATCCTTCTTGACTGTGACTAAACATGGAAGCAACAAGAATGGGTTTTGGACTCGGAACTTTGTCTTATCTTCACAAAGTACCTCTATGTCTTAAGACCAATCTCTCTCTCTTCCCTCGCCTTTTACTTCAAAACAATACTCTTTCCTCCAAAAACAACAACTTGTTCGTTGTAAGGTCTTCTAAGAGTAGCGATGAACTTGAGAGTAGTCGTCCTTTGACGCACTTTTCTCCCTCTCTTTGGGGAGATCACTTCCTCTCTGTTCCCCTCGATCGCGCGGTAAGTGCATATGACTGGTCCCTTTCACGTGTCTTGTTGCCCAAAACATGATTCTTGACCAGCCATTTTGTATATAACGTTTTTTTTTAGGTATTTGATGAACTAGAGAGAGAGATTGAAACTACAAAGCCGTTGGCGCGAGACATGCTCATGTCTTCTCACAGAAGCGACAAGGAGAAGATTCGTCTCATCCATTTGCTTATCAGCCTCGGGATATCTTATCATTTTGATAAGGAGATCCAAGAGATCCTTAACCACAGTTTCACAAAGCTGGATGATATATTAGTCCGGGAAAATGATTTGGAAACAATCTCCATTATGTTTGAGGTCTTTAGACTATACGGCCATAAGATGTCTTGTGGTTAGAAAATCATTTTCCTTGATATACAGACAACATATTCATGACATGACATATGTATTTGACTAAACGGTTTCATTGTAGATGCGTTTGATAGATTCAGAGGCAAAGATGGAAGGTTCAAGGAGTGTCTAGCCATAGATGTTAGAGGAATGCTACAATTGTTCCAAGTAGCGCATCTCGGGACACCTTTTGAAGATATAATGGACGAAGCGCTGAGTTTCACACGCAATCACTTGGAGTCTTTGGCAGGTGGTAATGTGTCCAGTGATATTCCTCATCTCATCAAGCATATAAAAAATGCATTATATATACCTCGATACCATAACACACCAGTACTAGTGGCAAGAGAATATATATCTTACTACGAACAAGAAGAAGGTCACGACGAGATCCTGCTCAAGCTTGCAAAGCTTAACTTCAACTTTTGCCAGCTTCATTACATCCAAGAGCTCAAAATTCTCACCAAGTGACGTCCTCATCTTCAATCTTGTTGACAACATTGGTCTCGGTTTCAAATATCCCAATTTTTATTTTCTTTTTCTGTTTTTTTATGGTTGCAGATGGTGGAAGGACTTAGATCTTGGATCTAGGCTACCTTATGTTAGGGATAGACTCGTGGAGAGCCATTTGGTGTCTTTGGGGCCGTACTTCGAGCCACAATATTCACTTGGGAGAATCATAGTGGCTAAAATCAACATGATCGTGGTTGTTGTTGATGACACATATGATGTTTATGCTACACTTGCGGAAGTTACAGCTCTTACAGAATGTTTGCAGAAGTATGTGTCTATCCATTTATGTGTGGCTCTCTTTCTGTATTTATTCAAGCATGGGGATTAAATCTTGGTATGACTAGGTGGAGTGTTGGTGCCAGTGATAAACTACCAGACTATTTGCAAATCGTCCTTGAAAATGTGTTCCAAGTCATGGGAGATATTGAACGGGAAATGAGACCGAAAGGAAGATCCTACGGCGTGAAACAAGTGGTAGAGAAGGTAATCCAGCTCAACAAGGAATCTGAAACGATATATACTTAATTATTATTATTATCTTTGGGAGACTCTGATTAGTGTTTTGAATCCGAATACAGACCAAGATTCTTGCCAAGTCATACGAAGAGATCGCAAAGTGGGCACGGACGGGTCACGTAGTAACCTTTGATGAGTACATGAAGGTTGGGTTAAAAACAGGCGCAATGGGTGATTTTGCAGCATACTCCTTTATAGGTATGGAAGATATCAACGAGAAGGAAGCTTTCGACTGGCTCAATTCCGAACCCCTAGTCATCAAAACTCTTAGTTTAATCTTCCGTCTAGCAAATGACGTAGGAACCTACGAGGTAAACCTCGAATCAAACGGTTTTTCTTTTTTTGCTCTTTCTTTTGTGTCCTTCTGAGTACGTAAATGATATTTGTAGACCGAGATGAGAAGAGGAGAGGTGGCTAATGGGCTAAACTGCTACATGAAACAACATGGAGTCACCAAGGAAGAGGCATCCCAAGAGTTACGTAAAATGTATAGAGAGTACTACAAAGTCGTTATGGAGGAGTTCATCAACACACATGATCATGTGCCTCGCCAGGTTCTTCTCAGATGCCTCAACATTGCACGTCTCTTCGATGTGTTCTACCGAGAGGGTGATGGATACTCTGATCCCAAAGGCAAGATTGAGCACTTTATGACCTCCTTGTACGTCCACCCAATACCCCTTTAACATACACCCGATTCTATGTTTTTCGTTGCGAATGGCTACGAGACACACTTGATCAGAACCGATTTCTCCTATCATTTTTTGTTTTGTTTTTATGTGATGAATAAAATTCATCAACACCTAACAAGTGATATATTTTAGACCAAAACTGAGCTAGACTATGACCACTGAGTAATTCTCTTTGACTCTAAACTTGCCAATATATATATTTTTTTAATGCAAGAGAGTTTACTTAGACCAAATGTATAGATACATATACAGCAACATTGACTTGTCTTTGATTTATACAAAACGCAAGACGGTAGAACATAGGCAAATCCCAGTAATTATATTATTCATACACAATTAGAAAACAAACTCACTTAGGATTTAGGAATGGAACAAGTAAAAAAGGTCTTTCTCTTTGATTGATGTGAGCGAATCGTGGTCAGTCATATCTTGAGGGTGAACGTGAATCATACGATCTGTGTGAACTATGAGACCTTTGTGAACTTGAAACGTTTACTCTTGGAAGATGAAACTGAGGATGATGATATTGAAGCTGCTGTTGTTCCATTGGCTGTCTGAGATTCCTGCAGTTCGTGACCTGTAGGATTTGACCCATGAAGCTTTGCTCTGGAAGACGCTGCAGACTCTGACAGTTATTGATTCTCAGGTTTCTTAAGGGATTCAGACCATATGAATGCTCCTTGGATAGTTGAAGAGTGAGCAGAGATGTGCAGTGATCGATTTCAAGCTTCTCGAGGTTGGCGAAATGGCCTAGAGGAAATGTAACAAGAGAGTCACAGCTGCTTTTTATGCTTAGCGTTTGAAGATTCTCGTAGCTGTACTCGTGGTGGTCTGGCTGGAAATCTAAGCGACCGCATTTATGGATGTGAAGAGAGATCAGAGAAGGAAGAAAGGTCGGGAGGTTACCAGATAGCTCTGGACATCTCAGTATGAAAAGTTTTTTCAGAGAAGGGAATAAATCTCCTCTTGTGACCCTTACATCTAACCAGTCTTCCCAATCCGGCAGGTTATCAAATCGCAGTGTTTCAAGCGATCTAAATGGCTGTTGGTCTCGATCACGCAGTGATTTATCGCTGAAGTAGAAGCCTTGACCTATGCTTCTAAGCCCAGCCATTCCTGAAATGTAAAGTTCTTTGAGACCTGGTAGTTGACCAAGAGATGGCAAGGAGGAACGGTTTTGACACTCGCTGAGGCGTATGCACACGATTCTAGAGAATGAAGGATCACTCAACCAATCTGGAAACCTTCTTCCGTTGTATCTCTCAATGGCGAGTTTCTCTACATGACGATGCGGGCGTAACTTCTCAAAGACTTCAGCTTCGTTTTGCGTCCTGTGAGGGTTTGTCTTGCTCTCTGAGCTACTAGATCCAGTTCTCCAGACAAAATCTATTTCCTTCAGATTTTTCTTGCTGTTTAAATTTGCTCCTGCAGCATCAGCAACATCCACAACTCGTTGTAGCTCGACTATTCTAAGTTTTCCATGAAGTTCATGAAGCTCTCCAAGTTCAGAAATCCTCGCCCCGTCAGTAGCACTCACGAAAAAGGTTGTAAGAGTCTGGAGACTCTTCAATCTACCAAATCTCCGCGGCATGTGTTTTAGCTTCGTCCCAATCAGATCAAGATACCGCAGATTGATGAGGTTGAAGATGTCTGTAGGCAGCTCCTTCAGACTGGAACAGTAAGCCAAAAGAAGTGTCTGGAGGTTATACATGTGACAAAGAGATTTTGGAAGTTTCTCGAGTTCAGTGCGAGAGAGATCCAAAAACCGAGCATGGCTTAAGTTCCTGAAAAAAACTGGGGGCAGCCTTGCGATCTTGTAATGTGATAAAGACAAAACACGCAAGCGAGTAAGAGTTGGAAGTAACTTCTCCCTGACCATTGTATCTAAGCAGCATGACCGTGAAGAATTTGTGAGGCTGAGTGGCAGAAAAGTTCTGAGAAACTTGACCTCGCGAAGAGCTTCAAAGTCCATAGGCTCACTGTAATTATCTCGCAGGTAGGATAAATATCTGGTCCTTTCTGAGATCTGAAGTTTGCAGCCATCTTCAAACTTGGAGCTGAACTCTCCTGAAGCAAACTGAGAAAGCTCATTGATAAAATCATGCATTACATATCTTGTCTTAGTCTTCTGTAAAAGCGACCTTGATTCTAGTTCAGAAAAGTACTCATCCCCAAGCTCTTCTAGAGTCTTACTGCTTCTCGTCTGTTGCAAGAAACCTTCTGCCATCCACAAAAGAACTACATTTTCCTTCTCAAACGCATGCCCTTTGGGGAATATCGAACAATAGGCAAAACATCGTTTCAGGTGAGCTGGAAGGTAGTAATAGCTTACCCGTAAAACAGGAAGTAGATTGCTCTTATCAGCTGGAAGATCCCAAATCCTGCTGCTTAGAACTCTCTCCCATTCTACGACTTTACCTTCAAACCGTAAAACACCACCGAGTGTTTTCACAGCCAAAGGCAGGCCATGGCACTTGTGCACTATCCTTTCCGCAAGATCTCCAATTTCTTGATCTAGGCACGGATCTTGATTAGGAAATACAGTTTTCATAAACAACGACCAGCACTCTCCATCAGATAATGGCTGAAGGTTGTGTACATGGACAGAACACATAATGGATGCAACGCGTTGGCTTCGTGTTGTCACAATAATCCGGCTCCCTGGAGCAGCAGATATGAAGGGTTGGCGTAGAAGATCCCAATCCGCAAAATTTTCATTCCACAGATCATCTAGAACAAGCAGAAACGGTAAGCCTATTAACCTCTCCTTCAGTTTGACTTGAAGTACATCCAGGTCGGTGAATTCACAAGGCCGGGAAGTAACGGATTCATAAACCTTTTTGGTGATCTTAAAAACGTCAAACTCCTCTGAGACATGAGCCCAGGCTCTCGTTCCAAAATGACTCTGGACACGCTGATCATTGTATAGGAGTTGTGAAAGTGTGGTTTTCCCAACCCCTCCAATTCCAACAATAGCTATAACGGTTGTCACACTATCGTCCCCTTTCTCAGGAATCAAGAGTCCCATGATCTCATCTTTATCATCATCTCTACCAAACACTTCAGATTCATCCACAAGAGATGTCGTTGGCAACCTCTGTTTGGGTAGCATTGCGGTTAGCTCTTTCAAACCCAAGACATTTCTTTGTGAGGCTAAACGCTCGAGCCTTATCGTGACCTTCTCAAGCCTGGTCTCCAAATGGTCACTGTTCCCGTCAAGAAAATCTCCGAGGGACATAATGCCGCGAAGCTGTCTCATCCTGTTGGAAGAAGAAGATTCAGCTCCTATGTTGAGACGCAGAGCTTCTGTAGCAACATCATCAAGAGCATCCTCAGCATGGTAAACAACATCTCTCAGCTCGTTGACCCATTTCTCCACCACCGGGTTTGTAATCTGCTTCTCATCCGCATCAATCAGCACCGCACTTATTGTCAACAACGCAGTGTTCAGCCTCTCTAGCACGTTCTCGTTCAGTTCCCGCCTCTTGAAGAAGTTCTTGAAAGAAGGAGACATCAGCGTCTGGAAGAGAGCTTGTAAGAAAGCTGAGAGAAAAATCTCTCCTCCAATCATCTCGTCTGTCTTTGTCCACACAAATCCCTCTGGAAATACGACAAACAGAGACAAAATCAAGAACTTGGAGATTAATTTCTCAGGATGAATAACTTCACAGCAGGCTATTTAATTCTTCAGTGTTACCTCCTCAAATAAATTTGATCCACAAGTCTTCAAATACTAAGAAATTACAAGGCAAGTGGTCATCACAGTTTGGTAGGAAAAATCAGAGACACTAACCTTAATAAAAAAAAAAACTGTATTTCCCTACAAAGTTGTTGAAGTTGACTTGATAAAACACACCATGAATCATGCCACCGAAGTGAATTCTACAATCAATCACCAACTGAAACTACCCGGAAAATGATTGGAAGCTACCTGCATTTCCGTGGAGAAACTTGAAGATAGCCTGAAAAGGATGAAACTTTTATGGTGAATGAAAAAGTCAAAATCATTTACTTGACTTTTGATTTGTGAAAATACTCTTGAGAATTCTGATAAGTTACATACATATGACAGTTTAATAAGAGTTAATTACTAGAATGACTTTGGAAAGTAGGGTAATTACTAGAATAATTTTGTCAAATCTACTAACTTGACACAACTTGATAAAAAACAAATAAATTTTAATAATCTATTTTATTTACGCAACTGCCATCGTGAAACCTAAAAAAAAAAAACTTAGAAATCTATCATAACTACCCAATAAGTCTACCACCACATATATACGTTGGAAATTCTTTAAACCAATAAATAAAACATTTGTTTGAAACCACCGTCGCAGAGGCTGCGGAAGCACCGGTTCGTGCTCGGCGAAGGTGGGGAGGCTGCAGAAGCACCGAGATTTAGGTAAAAATTGAACTAAAAATCAAAAGTTGAAAAAAAACTCAAAATCTTTTGAATTTTTTGTTAGAAAATGGATATATGATGTTAGATCTACTAGTTTTAGGCTAAACTTAGTTGAAAACAAATTAAAACACAGCAAAAACGAGCTAAAAATGAGTTGGCCGCCATTGTTAGGGTTTGACATAAGCTTGGGTGTGTTGGAGAAGATGAANGGTAAATTACGATTTTGTCCTTCATTGAATAAATCTACCACTACTATAAATAAATATTATAAGTCTACCACTACTACAAATAAGTCTACCACATATTATAAATCTACCACTACCACATATTATAAATCTACCACTATTATAAATAAATCTACCATAACTGTAATTAAGTAAGGTCATTCTAGTAAAACTCTGAAAAGATTTAATAAGTCTACCACAAAGACAAATAAGTCTACCAAATTTAATAAATCTACCACAACTTTAAACAAGTCTACCATAGGGCGAAACCATAATTAAGTCTACCACCACTAAATATAAGTCTATCAGATATTATAAATCTACCACTACTATAAATAAGTCTACCATCGCTAAACATCAATAAGTCT